CACACACTCACACACACACACACACACACACATACATACATACACACATACTCACACACACACATACACACACCCACATACACACTCACGCGCGTGCATAAACACTCTTACTTGCACATGGCGTAACAAACAAGTTCCTGAAGAACGCTCTTAGAACTGCTCTCTTTCCCTTCAGGGTTATACTCTGGAAGCTAACTCTGTGCTCATCTCCGATGATGACGTCATCGTGGCCCAGACATCAGCGGAAATGGCGCGTCGAGGCGGGACGGGCAATGATCGCACGTTTTTCAACACAAAGACGAGGCAGGTGTACAGACTGGTGCATACTACTGGTAAGAATGGGATGTGTCCACGTTATTTTGTTGCTGTCGTTGTTGTCTTTGCTGTTGTTGATGATTTTATTGTTGATGTTGTGTTTGTTGTTGTTGTGTTTGTTGTTGTTGTTGTTATTGTTCCTGTTGATGTTCTTGGTGTTGTTGCTGTTGTTGTTCCTGTTGTTGTTGTTGTTCCTGTTGTTGTTGTTGTTCCTGTTGTTGTTTTTGTTGTTAATCGTAGAGCCACGAACTTCTCGCCAACAATTATTTCGTCTTTGCTTTTGCTGAGGAAGTTAGGAAAAACATATTCAACTAGAAGCTGGATACAAACCTGACCTTATATTATCTACCATCCAATGCTAGGCAATAACAAAATGTAACTATTTCACTCGTAAGAATACTCCCACCCATAATGTTTAAATCTCATTTTGTCCTACAGGTTTGATCAGGAGTTTGCTCTATTTCATCCAAACTGGGAAACTGTCGGCAAAGGAAACCGAGAGGTGGGGCGTGGCATGGTCAGTGGACACCAGGCCCTGGAACCCACTGGTCAGCTTCAATAGCAGCAATGATGTCACATTTGGAGACCGCGCAAACCTGGCATACGCTATGAGCTCTGACAACCTCAGGGTCAAAGTTGAGATCAAGGTGAGAGTCACAGATCAAAGAAAAGGAGACAGAAAGGGTTACACAGAGAGAGAGAGAGAGAGAGAGAGAGAGAG